ATTTAATTTGAATTTTTTTCACTTCATTTTTTTTTTCACTAGATAATTCAAATTATAAACATTAAAAATATAATTAGAGGCAAGAAATGATGAACTATTTGAAAACATTAATCAATCAAACATCCAAACAATATGAAAATGGCAGAGGGCAAAAAGTGTCAAACTCTACAAAGTCCACTTCAACTTTTCATCTTTAAACAACTTATTATTTTATATGTGAAATAATGTCTTGCTTTGATTATAAGATAAGCATATATGTCATATGTACTGATTAGATATCAAGTCCAATATTGTTTAATTAATTTGTAGTTGATATGTTTAATTAATTAAGGACCCAAGTAATTTCCCTAAAATGAAATACATCAAATATATATTTATGATTAAAAAAACATATAAATAATGACATTAGATGTCAAATTATTGCATTTTGACTTTTGAGAAAGAAAAAAATGTTAAGTGGGCCGTGCTTGGGCCGTGCTTGGGCTCGTGCTTGGGCTGACACCTCTACCTAGCACCGGAGATAATTTCCCAAAAGTACGGCGTTTCGCTTTTCTCTCTCCACTAAAACGCAACGTTTCACTAATTCGACACGTGGCGGGCAGTTCGCGCCTCCACCTCACAGTGTTACAGTTATATCTCGGTCCCCTGACGTTGATGGTATTGTGTGGTGTGTTTGAAACACTTCCGCCCTCAGACTGTCTCAGGATCAGTAAACCCTAAACGATTCTCTGCTCCAATCGCGAGATTTCGACGCTGCAGTTGAAATTTCTGCTGTAACTTGTAAGTTTAAATTTTATTTTTTGTTACAGTGGTCTATGCATTTTCGGTTGCTTCTCTGTTTAGTTCCCCGGAAAAAGAAATGAAACAAAAACAGTTTTTTTTTTCCCATTAAAGAAAAAAGTTCTGAATTGTGTTTCTTAAAAGTGCAGAGGTAATAATTCTTTCTGCAAATAATTGAGCTTTTGTTTTATTTTTGCATCTATTCTTGAATCTCTGAATGGTATAAGTTTTGATGATTTATTTATTTATTTTTAAATTCAGTTATTTGTAAGCGGGAACTGCTGAGATTATTTTGTGAAATGCTTGATTCTGAAAGTAGAATTGTTCTAGTAGATTAGAGAAATATGGAGGTTGTGGAATGTAAAGATATGCACGAGGTTGTTGGCGAAAATGAGTTGGAAGGTTGTGGGACTAGTGAATTTGACAACAGGAGTAAGAGAGCTGAAGAGAGGTGTGTGGAGTTAGAATCGGAGATTGTAAGGAGGAAGAGTGAATATGAAGCTCTTGAGGCCAAGTTTAGGGCATTGGAAGTCGAAAAGTTTGCTATGGAAGAAGTGATTAAGGCTTTGAAGAGAGAGAGTGATGGAATTAAGGAGCAGGATAATAGTGGCGGAGATGAAAAGAATAAATTTTTGGGGGGAGAAAAGGGGACGGAGCGAATTGTTGATCTGACAGAGGATAAGTGGGAGGAAGATAAGGTCTTTCAGCTTATGATTGAGAACAAAGTATTGGAGTGTGAGAAGAAACAGGCTGAGAATGAGGTTGAGGCTTGGAAGGAAAAATTCAGAGAATTGGAATTGGGGATCTTAAAGTTGGACAATAATTTAGTCTTGAAAGGTGGGAAAGTTCCCTTGGCTGAAAGGATTAGACTTGAGGATGGATCACCAAATGTGGATTCTCCTGAAGATAGTAGGACTACGCAACCGAATAAAAGGATTAAACTTGAGGATGGATTGCACGTTGAAAGAGACTTGGAATGTTCGAGAGACAAAGATATAGTTGTGGATTTGGTGGATGTTACATGTCACTCCCTTGGTAAAGGGATCTGCGATCTGCAGTCAGCAGGTATGAAATATGCTCAAATTTGTAATTACTCAATTTTTTGTGCAAAGTCCTAATTGGATATGGGCATTAGCTGTGGAGAAGTGCCCATATTGGTAGGATTGACTCATATAACTGCTATGTTCTTAAGTGGTTGACCCTTAGCATCTCCTCTATGAGAAACTTTTCTGATTTCTGTTCAAATGATTCTTAGTAAATGGAACGCAATGTTTACATGTGTCTTTATGTTTGATTTTCAAATGTAATTTTGAGTCCAGTATTCATGAAGGGAGAATGTGTCTTTTTGTTTAAAATAACTTTGAGTCCAGTATATATGTATGTTTTCACATTGCCTAAACGAATGCAGTTAGGCTCCTATAAAGTTGTTTCTTTGGTACATAACAATTTGTTTTAAGTAATGCAGGCTCTACTCCCAATGGCACACCATGTAAGCATCGTGATGGTATTAAGGAGGAGAAGAAAGGTGTCTGTATGGAATATACTAACAGTAGACAAGCTAGGAAACAGCTAAAATTTGAGGAAGATGGGAGTCCTTGCAAGAAGATGGCTCCATCTACACCTGGTGGTGGTGTACCTTCTTCTCTCAGTGTCATTAATATTAGTGACAGTGATGATGAACGTAATCCTACTCATTGCCATACACTTTTGCCTACTGATGATAAGGGAAGCAAAGAGGTTTGCATTTCACTGGGTTCTGTATTAGGAGAAACTGTGGGTTGTGAAAAAGGTATGACTATCAAAAACTGTATAAAGCAGACTGATACTGACCATAATGTTGAGGAAGATACTGATGATAGCAATGAGGCTTTTCTGCTTGCCTCAACACCCAAAAGAAAGCGTGCTTCTAATATTGTTACTAGTGACTCTGAAAGTAGTGATGATAATATTCCGATCAGAAAACTCAAGAAAATGCATCTTCGGGGAAAAATACATGACCAAGTAGGATCTGCTTCGGTGATTGACAATGCCACGGGTGCTGTTACCCCTCGAAGGCGGCGTCTCGTTAGGTTGAGAAAATGTGGGGAAGGAGGTGGGGCAGAAGGAAACTATTCAAACGAGGATGTTGAAGATGATGAATTATTCGAAGAGGTTGGGTCGGATAGTGAAGGTGAAAGCTTGGGTGGATTTATTGTGAATAGTTCTGATGATTCTGAAGGTAATGATGCTTCTACCAAGTCGGAAGATTCCTCAGATGATAATGTGAACTTCGATGAGATCCTATCGAAATTTCAGAGGAACAAAGATCATAAATCGAAATGGGAGTTTGAGGCAGACATGCTTGCTGCATTTGGTAAGGATCCATATCTGTGCATGAAGGCTGTATGTGCTCTTTATAGACAGCAGACATGTGAAGAAAAAATTAGCAAGGGATCATTGTGCAACAATTATCGTGGTTTTAGCAAGTTCGATGCTCTCAGGTGAGAATTTGAATGCATAATATTTGACTTTTCAGATCCTACTTCTTGCCTAACTATTCGTTTAGGTATCATTTGACATATTTCTTATCCATTTTCAAGATGTGATGATATCTGGAATAGATTTTTGCTTTCTGTGTTTTGTCCACCAAATTGTTGATGAATTTTCTGTTCTCCATTTTTATAGGGGCTCTGTGTTGGCTGAGTTTCTCACTGGTGGAGACCCAAATGGAGATGTGAACAAAACAGTGAAGGAGTTGGAGGAGTATGACCCAAGGGGCATCGAACAATGTAGAACATTGGCAAGTCGTTACTCTAAGCAACTGTTCGAGATCTACAATAACAAAGAGGATCCTCTGTTTCTCCCATCATTCTGATGGTCTCTGCCAGAGGGATGACATAAGATGAGATGAAATGAGAGAATGGTTACCAAATGTTTGTACATATATGACAGTCCTTTTGATTTTTTATCATGGTTGTGTTGTATATAACAATATAACTAGGAACATATGAAAAATTGTCCTTTTCATATTTATGCATTGAAGCACATAATTTTCGACTGCTTTGGTGTCCATAAATCAATGCCAAGAATTGGCAGACAAGCATGCTAGCTCTTCCTTCTTTCCTGTTGTTTCTCTGCAACTACATGCTACCTGCTAATATGGGTTAATTGCCACGTAGCAGACAAGCCGTTGGAAATATGGAAAATGAGATTGTATTCGGTGACAATCTGCAACTACCCCCAACAACTAAATTATTAGATTTTGGCTTGTCCTTTGAAAAAGGAAGATGCATATGAATCTGATACATGAGCATTGTTGACAAACTTAATTGTAAGAGTTGACGTTTTTGTAATCTTTCAAGAATTGAATCGTTCTAATATGAATTAAAGAATTTTTAACTAGTTTTCACCCTTTGGCTTTCTCTACACTCAACAGTCCAGTTTCTGAGTTTCTCTCATTAATTGAAGCTCCACCTACAAAAAGGCCATCATCCGTCAAGTTTGAGAGAGAGAGAGAGAGAGATGGAGTCAGCTACTAGGTTTGAAGTGGGAAGAGGAAGAGTCGATGAAGGGAAGCATCAGCAAAGGGACTTCTTTAAAATGCCACTGCACTACCCAAACTATTCAAAAGCTGACTACGACAGCATGCCTGAATGGAAGCTCGACCGCCTTCTGTCTGAATACGGCCTTCCAGTTGTTGGAAGTGTGGAGCACAAGAAGAAATTTGCCATGGGAGCTTTCCTCTGGCCTCACTAAATAAAATCACTTCTTCTTCTTCTTCTAGCTACCACGGCATTAATAAAATATTTTCTATATCATCTTAGCTAGCTGCCTTCTTCTGTCATAATGTTTCATATATATGTGTTTTGCTGATTTCTGTGTTGCCTCTTTCTTGTAATTACTTTGCATTGCTCTGAAAAGAAAGGCTCAGCAGCAAATGAAGAGGTTGTTTTTTATCCAAACAATATTAGAATAATAACAATTCATGCATGCTAATGCTGTCAATATAACTGGCTGGCTGGGAAACGTATTATTAGTTTTACAAATCAAACTACATCATCAACACAAAAAGCACAATTAACAAACATCTTTTTAAATTTAGGAAATTGATTGAGAAACAGAAAAAGAAAACATATGGGTTGGTGGGTCCCCTAAAGATGCGGGCTGACCCCACAACTTTGCCATGCATATAGATAGATAGATGGCTATAAAAGCCATACGTGTGTTGATCCACAATTCCCTCACCCTTGGGTCTTCCTTTGAGCCATTTTATTGGTCCCTCTCTGTCTCATATTTATTATCATTTTGTTGAGCGCTGAGCTTTTCTCCCTCCTCTTTCTCTCTCCCTCTTTCTCTACGTAACGTAACAAAGAGAGGAGGAGGGGGAGGAGGAAAAAAGGGAGAAAAATGGCAGTGATTAATGCATCGTCATTTGGAGTGGTTGCAATTGTCCTCCTCTTTTTCGCTGTCGTTTTGCCCATGGCTCATGCAACCAGGGTGGCTCCGGCTCCGGCTCCAGCTCCAACAAGCGATGGTAAAGCTTCCTTAAAAAAAATTGCATTGCTCACGTATTTTTCAATTTTTTTGTTTTGTTTTTGTTTTGACATAGCAGTATTCTAAACTATTCTAATGTACGGAGAATGAATCAAAACCGACTACAAGGGAGCAGATACGCTGCCTTAGTCAACTCACCTAACCAACATTCGCATTTCTTTTTGGTGTTTTAATTTGGAAACGAATGGCAAGGTTATGGGGATTGCTTAATGAATTGTTTATGTGTATTTTTGCAGGCACGGCAATAGACCAAGGGGTAGCATACGTTCTAATGGTGCTGGCATTAGTTCTCACATATCTCATCCACTGAATAATCAATCATCTGAGCTATGAGATGCAGAGAACCAGAAGGTACAGGAAGCAACCAGCAGCATACATATATACAAACCATTGCCCACGCTAGGTGTTTTAAATTTAGGGTGGGTGTGATGTGGTATGGGGTAAATTTATTAATTTCGTCAGGTTAATTCTTGTTGAATATTCCAAGTATTGGATAAATCTCATTAATTTAGTACGTACGTTAATTTGGAGGATTCCTTGCTTCCCTTTTCTTGGTTTGATTCTATCAGGAAACACTTCTCTAGTCACTATGTACATTAATTTGGATAATTTCTTGCCTTGCCTTCTCAATTTTAATACATAAACTTGAAATTTAAAAATGGAAATAATGAAATTGAGAAACAAAGCATAGACATTACCAGGATTCGGATTGCTCATTTTCTCGATGGGCTGAATGAGTGCCACGAGATTTTTTGGTTTTTTTCTTTTGTCCAAGAAACTCTAGGATTTGACCATGTTTTTTCTTTTCTTTTTTTTTAATTGGAGGGTGGGAGGGAGGAGCGTTCAAGAAGCACAGAACGTTTTGGCCAAATCCTGCTGCAATACTAAAAAAATGACAAAACGAAATACTATTGCTTTATTTGACACCAAAGAGAACAAGAGGCAGATCATGCAGATTATTCGACATAATCTACCAACTGAGATGTACTCTCAAAAAAAAAAAAAAAACAAGGGAACGACCTAAACGTAACAAAATTTCTTCTCAAAACCGAGCGAGAAAAAGTGAACCAAAATTGGGTGAAAAGAGGTTCAATCCTGCACTTGCAGGCCTAGAAAAAAAATAAAAACATTGTCATCTGGAAAGCTATTGTATCTACAAAAACTTGTAGCTGATCTTCCTTATCAAAATCGTTTCCTTACCCTATGCCAAGTCACTGGACACTGCATCAAAGGGCACCGTGGAAGGATCAAAAAAACGAGAAGACACGGATCCACCTCTGTCATGAAGTTGAATACCGCTGATGAAGAACATACTTAACGACTTCATAGAAGGAAACCACAATCCCAACAGAAGGGCCTGCACGGCCAACACGAGGACCAACTCCCATGAACAGTCCCTTCAGCCCTCCACCCCTGTCCCAAAGCAAATATCAATATAAGTGCATTACTAGTAAAAGATCTACATGCCCATCACTGAAATTTATGTACTAGAAGGATACCTCCAAATCTCCATTAGTGTTTGCCTTGTTGTCATTTTCAGTGCCCTGACTGGATCGTTCTGATTTTTATTTTCCAAAAGAAAAATTTTCATAAGAACAGAGTACAAATATACAAAGAAGTACAATACCTAAAATACTAAGCGACACTCCATTTCATAAACAAAGTGCAACATGCATGCTAATTCTCCTTTACGTTCATCTAGTTCACTTTCAAAGTTTGGGAAAAGGATCAAACTCTTTCTCTATTTTTTATTTTTTATTTTTCCTTTTATGGGTTATCAAGAGATCGATTCAGAATGGAATAGAGAGAGAAGAAAAATACCTCTATCTGCCTTCGGGTTTTTGCAACATCCAATGGACACGTGGCTGCAGCAGCAAGGCTTCCTGCAACAAAAGCAGCAGAAAAATTTGCCCCAAGGACACTGACTGCATTGGCTTCATCACCAACTAGACCAAGAAGTTTTCTCCTGAGCTGCTCAGACAGAAAAGGAATTGTTATTGAAATAATTGCTGGAAAAAAATAGATGTGGACAAAACAATGATAAAAGGAATAAGTAATCAGAAGAATGAATCCATACGGGCTCAAGGGTTGACCAACAGATTGCTGAGAAGGGAACATCACGAGCAAGTTGTGCTCCCATACCCGTCCACAGGACACGATAGCCTTGCACTGTTAGAACAGAGAGTATATCAAAATCGTTTACTTCAAACAAAATTTAATTCTGGATCCAAAACGCCAAACTGCACTGAAAACCATAATGAGGGTGCCTCTACTCCTCAAATCTTAATTTGTGTTCATGGAAAAGTAATGAGTAGGTGTCCTGCTAAATATCATATAGCAAACCAAAATCTGATTTCCTAATAACTGCTGGGATGCATTTGCTTATTGTGCCGCACAATTTGACTTCTATTAGAATTATGGGAAAATAACATGCATCCACCTTAAATTTACAGAACTCAAAGAACTAATCCAAGGTCAAACCATCAGAAGAATGTACTTACAATTCTGAACGTTACTAGTGGTCTTGACATGAGACAGGACACCAAATAAAGTCTTCAAAACACCAGGAGGCTTCCTACCATTTTGTATGACTTTGAATGCCTATTAACATTTTCAAAAACAATTAAATTAAATAAATAAAAATAAGAACCTCCACGCCTCTGCTCTCAGAGCCTGTCAAGTGTGTAACTTGCCAAAATAACATAACCTACCAAACATATCTTACACAACATCTAAAATCAATTTAAACCATCAAAACATAACAAAATTAACCATAAAATGAATTTTTAAACCTCTAAACTACCTGCATGCGAGTTCTAGCAAGTTCAATAGGATAGCAAGTTGCACAAGCTAACGAGCGTGCCAAGGAGCCAGCAACTAAAGGGACATAAGCAGTCGTACTTGGAGCATTATGGACAGTGAATTCCTCTAACCAGTTGCGAAATATGTCATAGCATGGTAGGTAAATCCCCACCTGATCAACAAAAAGGGAGTCACGTAAATGAAAGAGCAATTGCATGCCCCAGCAAAAACCAAACTAAGACCTGAGCAGAATTAGAAGCTTACTGTTGGAACAGCCAAGGCTAATCCTGCATTTGTGCCTCTCCATAGCCTTGAAAATCCTTCCTGTGATATCACACTCCAAAATCAAAATGATAGACAAACACCTATTGCATCGGTAGACAGCATAATGTAGAGGAGCACATGTTTTCACTGACTAACCACGGCAATGTTATACATAGATAAGCACCATGCATACATTTCATGCTTTAAGAACAGGAAACTAACAAAGCAATATAATCATGAAATAAACGAGTAGGTGCATGCTTGTAACTACAGTTTTCATTTTCATGAACATTTGGCATAGTATACACTTAAAATGGCAAGAAAACCGACCAACCTGTCGAATGATTTTGTAGAAGACATCCAATGTGCCTTTGTATTTAAAACAATCAGGAGGACATATTGATACAGTACCCTGAATTCCAGCATGTGTGCACGATGGTGAACACCTTAGATCTGCAAACAACTGAGCATACATAAAATAAAACAAAATTAATGGCCCACATGCTGGCAGAGATCAACATTAAGCCAAAACGACCAGTAAAGAACCTTCCTGATTGTGAAGGGATACATTTATCAAACATATATAGCATATAATTCAAAAGCTAGCAACATATGAAGGTACCCAAAAACACAGCCACTTGTCTACACCATAAAGTATTAGTGAAAAAATGTTGAAGCATAATATTTCCCTGAAACCAACAGAAAGAAGAAGAAAAATCCAAGCAGAGACAATGTAACTCCCCACGTCTCAGCCTCTCAGGCAGATAATGCATCCATGTAACTCCCCATGCTCCTAATCCCACTCAAAGTTCTAACTGTGAGCTACTTACAGAAACCAACCAATTTTAACTAATCATGTCTAGACATTAATGCAATAATCAACACAACTTATCACATGACTCGGTAGTATGGTCTATCAACCACCCTAGGCGGTGTATGTATCACACATTCTCATTTCCGTTTATAGCAATCCCATGTAGGCTTCCATGATATGTAACAACATAAGCAGCCTCAACAAAGGTTAAAGAATCCAATCCTCTACAACAGAAAAAAAGGACAGAGAAGTATCGCATTCATACCATGCTTGGCCCAAAATATGCCATCCGACTTGTGACATTACTTAGTGGATGAGAGTAAGGAACTCCAGCTGCCTGAGCTTGCAACCTTGTCTGTAATAAGATAGAAATACAATAACATTTTCTCAGTGCATGCTTCCAATCGGCAGCTTTCATATAAACGTTTGCTAAATACAATAAAATGCATCATATTAATAGCAACTAAGAGAGATAAAATGCACACCAAGGAGATCAACCAAGATATTCATCATAAGAGCCCTTCTCAATTTTGGTAGATTCCAAGTCCCATTTGACCGAAATATCTAAACTTCAAACGCTTTCAGTTTTTCCCTAATGCCGGTTTAATTTTACTTTTCCTCTCTCTCTCACTTCGTCGGAAACCAAACAGAGCACTACTAGAAACAAAAGCACGTACCTTGACGACGTCGAGAGGATTGACGATAATTGCGGATAAAAAAGCGGCACCGGCTGCCGACAAAGCTCGCTCGGCAACGCCCAATTGCCCGTCGGACGTGTTATTGTAGCTTGAACTGGGAGGCTGTGCGGCAGAGAATTCCACCCCATCTCTATCCGTAGTCGTCGATTCCGGACTCGACAAATCTCTACCGTCAATCCCAACTCGCTGGGTTTGCTCCGTGCTCATCCATGGATTTTGGGCTCGCTCCAACTCCACCATCTTGTTCGCGCCTCTCTCTCTCAATCTCTGATCAATTGCAATCTGACAAAATTTAATTTCTTTATCTTTTTTTAAATAAAAAATTGGAAACAAAAGAACATGAAATAAAAAATAAAAAAAATTTGTTTTCAAAATTGCTTGGAGAAGGAGGAAAGGCTGACCATAAACTAAGGCGGGCTACAGGAGAGGAAAGGGGGAAGAAGTGTATCAGCTTCGTGTCCTTTGTGAGGGCCACGTTTGTTAGCCTTTCTGAAAGCGACTCTTTTTGGTGGTAAACCTACTGGTGAAACAAACTGATTATATACTCACCAAAATTACAACTTAAAAAAATTAAAAAATTAAAAAAAGCTCATGAAACTTCGGGAAAGGAAGGAGTGTAATATTTTATTTTATTTTATTTTTATATTTCTTTACACTGGTGAGTTTGAAATTTTAACTTTGCCTGATTTGATTTTGGTGGAAACAAACAGGGCCTTATTTCTTGTTTGGGAGCCGTTGCTCAACTTCTTCTAGGGCTTTCTATTGTGCGTGCGACGTGGCGCGACTCTCGGCGTGGAGTAACACCGAGCAAGCAAAGTTACATTTTTCTTTCCAAATTATTAGAATTTTGGCTTTCTCTTTCTTGGACCATAAGTCAATCTTTCCATTTTATTATTTTTCATCCAATAAATAGATTTTGATTACCTGGAAACTAAAAAAGTTGAACCATATAAATCAAATTTAAAAATATTTCATTAATAAATTGTTATTGATACCCCCAAAATAATAATATTGAACTCCTTATTCTTTTGTTTTTTTATTAAAAATGAGCGTAGAATAACTATTTTGAGTGACGATAAAATCTCATAATATATATTTTATACACACATAGATAGTCAAAATTATCCCAAATTAATCTAATTTACGGAAAATGGAGACTCGAACTTAGGTGTAAGACGTCGAACTCACTGCTATGGCTAACTGGTCTAACCCACATCTGCAAAGCTCATAATATATCAATAACATAAACAAGTACAAAAATATCAGATTTTCCTTTTTAAACCCATCAAGTCATATTGATTATGACCCTTTCTTCTTTTAGGATTATGACCTTGTTCTTTTTTTTTTTTTGGGACGAAAGGATTATGACCTTGTTTTTTAATGAAAGATGCACAGCATATATTTATTCGACCAAATTAACCAACGACAATGTGCATACAATACAAAACTGTCAACCCCATAATTTTCAAGAATGCCAATTTCTCGGACAGAGACAAGCAAACACCCAGCTAGCTAGTGTAATTTCAAGACCATGCCAAATTGCCAATGCAGAATTCCAATATTAAATACTTAAAATGAAAGCAAAATGACAAGCCACTGAAAACCATTCCATTACTCTATGGATTGGACCAACAACAAACCCCAAACATTGATGGGTTTGTCTACGTTGTTGAAGATAAATTTCATCTCCTTGGATGCCATGCCACAACCAGCCAATAACTTCGATCTCCCAAATAATATGTTACCATTAATTGTAAAAGAAAATATAAGGAAATATATATGTTAATCCATTACATTTGAGCTTACAACATGGCGATTAATTTATTAAAATTAAACCATAATCTCAATTAGAATAAACCCTTAATTATGAATTACAATAATGTAAGCATAAAAGCATATGTGTAGAATATCCTTGATACGTACCCTTTGTGATTTCTTGTAGTTCTCTCACAGCCTAGGTCTAAACGTCCGTCATTGTAATACTTAGCCATCCCATAACAATCATTAATAATTCCTACTAATTATATTTCCCTATATAATCATGATGATCATCTAGTCCTACACCAGCAGCAACCTTAACCATCTGAGGCAGCACCAGCAACTTAATTACGAAAATGGCCCTAGCCGTGCTGAATGCACTGGACTCAGCTCGGACGCAATGGTACCATGTAACCGCCATTGTCATCGCTGGCATGGGCTTCTTCACCGACGCCTACGACCTCTTCTGCATCTCCACCGTCTCTAAGCTTCTCGGCCGCCTTTACTACTTCAACCCTGACTCAAAAGTGCCCGGAAAGCTCCCTAAGCATGTCAACAACATCGTGATCGGCGTGGCCCTAGTAGGCACCCTATCGGGCCAACTCGTGTTCGGGTGGCTCGGTGACAAGCTAGGCCGCAAGAAGGTTTACGGGGTCACCCTCATCATGATGGTCATTTGCGCCATTTGCTCAGGCCTGTCGTTTGGCTCCTCAGCACCCGCTGTGATGACCACCTTGTGTTTCTTCAGGTTTTGGCTAGGGTTTGGGATCGGCGGAGACTATCCCCTTTCCGCCACTATTATGTCCGAATACGCCAACAAAATGACACGTGGCGCGTTCATAGCGGCGGTGTTCGCAATGCAAGGTGTGGGGATCATTTTTGCAGGGCTGGTTTCGATGGTCTTGTCGAGAATCTTCCTGAGCTATTACCCGGCACCGGCGTTCCAAGACAGCCCTACGGATTATTCGCACGTGTTGTCAACGCAGCCGCAGGCAGACTATCTGTGGCGGATTGTGCTCATGATTGGGGCGTTGCCGGCAATCGTGACTTACTACTGGCGGATGAAAATGCCCGAAACAGGTCGATACACCGCCTTGATTGAAGGAAATGCCAAGCAAGCAGCCGCGGACATGGGCAAGGTTTTGGATATCGAAATCCAAGCTGAACAAGATAAGTTGGCACAATTCAAGGCTGCCAATGAGTACCCATTATTATCCATGGAGTTCTATAGGCGCCACGGACGTCACCTAATAGGTATATTTTCAAATTGATATGTTTTTAAAATTTTATAGAATCGATAATTTACTTTAAAATTAATCTAACATACGGGAAGAGAAATTCAAACTTTAATGCAAATGGACGAGAAATTATAGAATACTACAGTAATATGGTCACGTGGTACATTTTGTAGATATGTTATAATATGTGGGACTACATGGTTTTACCCCAGATTAATATTAATAAATATTCACTTATATTATAACATGTATATAAGATTTATCACGTTACCGTAGTACTATAATATTCTATAATCACTCCAAAGGACTGATTGCCTGACCTAAACTGATATATTAGATATAACATATTTTGAATATTTTTTTAGTACTCCGGATATTTTGTCCATATTATTCATGTATTAATTCTCAAACCCAGGTACAACGACCACTTGGTTCTTGTTGGATATCGCCTTTTACAGCCAAAACCTAACGCAAAAGGACATTTTCCCGGTAATGGGTTTGACACAAAAGGATGTTGAGGTTAACGCTCTGCAAGAAATGTTCGAGACCTCGCGAGCCATGTTTGTGATTGCGTTCTTCGGCACTTTCCCTGGTTACTGGTTCACCGTCTTCTTCATCGAGAAACTCGGGAGGTTCAAGATCCAACTTATGGGGTTCTTCATGATGTCTTTCTTCATGTTGATCATAGGCATCAAATATGACTATCTCACAACCAACAAGTACATGTTTGCAACCTTGTATGGTCTCACCTTTTTCTTCGCCAACTTTGGCCCAAACAGCACCACTTTTGTTCTTCCGGCTGAGTTGTTCCCTACCAGGGTCAGATCCACGTGTCACGCGTTGAGTGCGGCGGCTGGAAAGGCCGGTGCCATGGTGGGTGCGTTTGGGGTGCAGAACTATACTACGGGTAAAGGAACGAAAGATATCCAGAAGGCTATGTTCTTCTTGGCTTTTACGAACATGCTAGGGTTTTGTTTCACGTTCTTGGTCACTGAGACTAAAGGCAGGTCGTTGGAGGAGATCTCCGGTGAGGATGGCGGTGGCGAAACAACTGGAACACAGATGACTGGTACCAATTCATCATCAGTGACTAGGTAGTTAATTAACAAGGTTTAATTAGCAAAGCCGATCAATTAAATAAGTATTTACTATTTGGTTATGATATAAATATATATATCAATAAATGAGCTCGATGGAGCAAATTTAGGGTCATTTGCTCAGAAGCATGCCCTATAGGCACAAATAAGAGCTGCCATGTGTTGTGAACTTCCAAGTGAAAGAAAGTTTGAGTGGGGGTGAGGTTTTTATATTGTTTATTTTCCTTCTTTCATGTATTTCTCAATGTAACATATAGAGTGAAGTGAAAATTAAGATGTTCGTGTATGTTTGTTTGCTACACCCACACAGTCATTATTAAAGAATCGATCTTATTTTAGGCCACTACTTTTCCTTAGTTACGAAAACATATGTTATTATATATACCTAATGAAAAGATCCATTGTGTGATCGCAATACACAAACTCCTCACTACATCCCTCAAATTAATATTCGAAAACTTACCATTGTAATAACTTAACAGAAACTATCCTGTTTATAAATATTACAATCGACTTTTCTATTGAATTTAAATTAAAAGGCCTATGCAAAGGATCCACTAGTGTAGTGGTTTTGAGTAATTGCTTATCCATAAAAAGTTATGGGTTGAAGTCATAACATTCGTATAGTGCGTGTGAGTTTAGTATATTACTGCATCTCTCAATAAGAAATGAAATGCGGAAAAACTCACACACACCCACACTAGTACTGTGGGGGTTTGAACCACTTGAGAACAATAGCACACCAAATAAATGGGCCATTCCAACTAACACCCTATTAATAAAAAATAATATAATTATCAAACAACCCCAAAGCCTTTGGGCCAAAGGAAACATGTTAGAAGTGTGACATAAAGCACGAAAAATTAGCTAAAATGGACGGCTTAGATTGTCCGTTGATTTACGCATCTCATTTGAATAAAAGAGCGGTGTGTGTACTGTATCAGCGCACTTTATTCGTTGCAGGCGCTACATCAACTCCCACGTGTCGCACTCTACCCGTGACACCTAAGAAACCCGAACCGTCTCAGCTGGACCACACTCTCTGAAAATTGAAGCCCTAGAAATTAGTCTCTTCTCCCCCAAATTTCCCTCCATGAAATGGGACATGGAAATCGAAGATATTGAGGCGGTGCTCGAGAAGATTTGGGACCTGCACGATAAGATCAGCGACGCCATCCACTCAATTTCGAGAGCTCACTTCCTCAGCTCTGTCAATGCCCTGAGAAGTTCCGACAAGAAGAAGCCGCACGCCAACGACGTCGCTGTTGATGAGAACCGAACCGGCTACGTCTACGTGAAGGACTTCCGACACGACCACGACGATGACTCGGTGATTCGGGAGGCCAAGAGCCTCAATGCGATTCGGACCGCGCTTGAGAACCTGGAGGACCAGCTCGAGTTTTTCCATGTAAGTTCATGGCTTTCTAGGGCTTGTCTTGTTAATTTATGTTTGCTTACTTGAAAACCGTAGGAAAATAGAAGAATAAGCGACGAAATGTTTGATTGCGTCTGGTCGTTTGAGCTGTATTAATTATAGAAATTAGACAAGTGGATTTAAAGATATTTGTTAGCTTTTTTGGTGGTGGTGCGTGTAATTTGATTAGTTTCTGTTTGGTTGCCGGGAAAATGAAAGAGATGAAAAATTAGTAAGCAAAATTAATGTGTAATATATGGTTTATGCCGTTGCAGTATCCGAAATTCTGTACTAAGTAGCTAAGTGCTTATGTAGTATGAAAACTGTTCAGCTTGGGTTCCTTCTTTCTATAGAATATAAATTTGTGCATAGAGCAATAAAAAGCAGAACACTAGTGCAGAGGCAAATGTAATTCCAAATGTGATCGGTGGACATTAGAGACACGTAGGTTTGTTAATGGTTTCCGTAGAGCAAAAGAGATTATGATAAGTAAGGGATAAAAAAAATGGTGATGAAGATTGCTGACCATTAGGTGGCTTCTCTGTTACATTGTACATGAGTAGGAAGTTTTCATAGGACACACCTGTTGCATTACCTATAGAGTGCTTAAGGTCAAGTGGTTGGGGATTAGTCCTTAACTTCAATTTTGAAAACCATGATTTGAAGTTATATTGTGACTTTGTTGTGTATTGCTGAAAGTTGCATCGCTCTTAAAGGACGAAATACTCTGTTTCTGTAACTGCCGCGTGGTTTTGCTTGTGAAACTCTCTGTTTGGATTGCACTTTGATATTCCGCATCTTACCAGCTCAGGCATACTTATGTCAATTTGTTTTCTTGTCTAGACTGTGCAGGTGCAGCAGCGGGCTGAGAGAGATGCTGCGATTGCACGGTTAGAGCAAAGCCGTAAGGTTTTAGCAATGAGATTGTCTGAACACCATGGTAAGAAATACCAAGTTATTGAAGAAGCTCTTGCCTTTGTGGGAGATGTCTGTGATGCAAGTCGCTTCGTTTCACCTGAAAATCTTTATGGTCCTCCAATCAGTCCTTCTGCTGAGAAATTGGAAGCCTGTGAAGGGAAGAGGTCAAATATTATAATCAAAGTTCTCATTTCAAGTATCAATTTTGCTAAGAAATCCCTTAAATTGGATAATATGGGTGGAATACTTGGCAATGCTGGTTTGGTGGCAGTTAGCATGATTGCATTGGTGCATCTGAATCAAGTAGCTATGAGGGAGCATCCACAGAAGCTGGAAGAAAACAGAAATGCTAGAAAAACTTCCCGGGTAGAGGGGACTTCGTCGACTGGTCGATTCAGCAACTTGGATGTGCTATTGGCTAGGGGTTAGCTCAGAAGTCTTAAATTTCTGTAGCACAGAATTAAATTGTAGGTAACCAAACTGTTGGTATAGTTGTATTTCATCCCACGGAAAGTTTGCAGAATTTGGCAAAGAGGTTTGGTAATGAGTAATCCCGTAGGTTGTTCTTTTTCAAACTACAGTAGAGGCATAAAGCTACCTCTCCTCCTTTAGGCTATGGGCGAAGGCTTGTTAAACATATACCCGTAGATGTTTTTTTTTACAGGTTGTTTGGCTTCCTTCCTTTTGTCATTTGAAATTCTTTTGTGTATATTAAGCACTCTGATATCTACAGATTGGTGATATAGCAACTTCGGCCCGTCTCTGATTGTGTAGGCAATGGACCTACATATATGAGTTGGCCCAATTTGTAGAACCCACTAAAACTACCAGCCTTGCTCCCAAAACTAACAATGCGAGCTCCAACTTTAAGCAATCTACTACGAGGCGAGAAGCCATTTCTCAAGTCAAAGAGCAAACTAGTTAGGGATTGAAACCAGGAGGTAACCAATGACGTCATTAAGTCAAAACCTCAAAACTCAACAACCCAATTTCTGGAAACTTGCATTGCAATTTGCATGCATCATTACCGGAGAAACTCTGATAACCGAGGACCCATTTACATGGGCCAGCCCTCAAGACTTTGGACGCCTAAAAGGCTGTCTGATTTGCAGGAGCCAACCCCTGTGAGACTTTGGAGGAGCCTCATCGTCACTTTAAAGGCAACAATAAAGCCCTTAATTCTGATTTCGGTCAACCCAATTTGAACACACATTATTTCTAACGATATCTTTTTCTAAGCCTTGCTGACCATGCCGCAGCAACATACCACATGCAACTTGCGAGAAACAAGCAAAGCAAACCCAATTGTGTATTTAGAGTTAGACCAACCTTAGTGGATTGGTTGTCAATGTTCGGTGTGACTCATGTTTGATTGGAACCAAATTCAGATTGAATAATATATGATGGGGGGATAATTTCAAATTAACAGAAGCAATAATGTCGGAAAGCAATTTGCTCTATTCTTTAGGCTTTTTGGGGTGTTGGTCTTTGCCAAAACCAAAAAAGTTTAAAGGGTTTGAACACATAATTAGCCTCATAATTTGCAGCTGTGTGTAAACACTTTCTTGGACTTCCTATTGGATTGGATGCGTGCATCACTCAAAAGCTCATGTAATGTAACAAACAGAAACAGAAGCAAAGAAAAACTTCCCCTTTTGAAGAAAAAAATATGTACATGTCATGTGTGATATGAGAAGACAGGGTGAAAACATCCTTCCCAACTTTTCTTCCTCCTTTCGTGATCTCAAATTGACAACAAAGATTTTGTGTCCTCTTCGGTAGAGAATGTCAACCAAACGAGGCACCAGGTCAACTCGAAAATACAAAAGGAAATTGCATTTATAAGAATTTTAGTAAAAGTGGAAACATAACCTCAATCAAATTTGTCTTTAAATGGTTTGAAATGCTAAGTAAACTATCAGAAAAAGATATTCATCTTTTGGGAACGATTCAAACACAATCTATTTTGCACAATCTACTGGTTATGTTTGGTATATTTCTCGTTATAATAAAGTGAACCAGCTGAGCTGTCGACATTAATAAAGTTGCTGCACTGCACCGGGTGTTATTTTCTTTGTTTTTCTCCCTCTCAAATGCAGATGTCGTGTCCTTTTTACACAGATACACACGTGAAGGCATGCACTCACACGTTTATTATAACAATTAAAACATATCGTGCCAAGAGCGGAATTTTGAGTACATATAATTCCGGCATCATATGTACTCACATCCCGCAACAATCCTGCTCCGTATATCTTTATATGTAGAGACCTCTGGATTGCTAAAATACACTTAAAACAAGTGCATGCCAAAATTTTCTTTTCAATTTCTCAAAACCCAATGAACCTTTTGGGAAAGAATGATTGGAGGAGTGTCGTGGGAGGGACAATAATATTAGATTGGGAATTTAACAATATTAAAGAAATATATATATACTCCAACTCATTGTATTATATTACATAAATTACAATAATAGAATACAGAAAAGACATTGCTTTGATTTCAAGTTTAATGAGTACTATAGAGAGAGAGACTGTCAAAATCAAATCTTGTCCATATAGAACATGGTCCATATTCAAGAAAATTCTCCGCTATATGCACAGGGAGAAATGTCACACATTCTCTCCGTCCCACAAGGCCATAACTCGATTCACCATCGCTGTCGGTAGGTGAAATTGAGTAGCGTCTTCCTCTGGTGGGGTCCATGAGGTGGCGCCGGTGCCACGTGTCCCATGATAAGCAGTGCTGACTGCTCCTGGAGTTTGCCACGTGTGCATAGAGATGGGAGACAGTTGCAAATTTGGGAGGTGGCAGAGCAGAGGCCCCATATATATTTTCACGTGTTACCCACCCCATTTGTCTTCTTGGCCCATGGGCCCTCCGGACTTGTTTAATTTTTATTAAAATAATGTAAAAATTAAGATTAACATTTTTAAAAAAAAAGAAGGAAAGTGTTTATAGTGTTAGATAGATTGGACGGTTGCCGTACATGAGAACGTGAGCGATGAGAGGTCGACCATGATTCGTCAACCTTCAACTAAAAAGTCATCATTCTCATTAATTAAGCACGATTTGGGGGAGCATCTCCTAATCACTTTAGGACTCAACTGTTTCAAGTTTGATGACCCGTCAATAAAACTTCAAGTGTAAAGGTAATTGCTCGTAATTACTTGAGTTACGACTTCTTCGTAAGATATTTGAAACTATTGAATATGAAACTGTAAGACATATTCCAGTTAATGCATGTGGTAGCATTAATGTAGCCCCGAAAAGAAGAAGGAGCAAAAAAAATAAAAGTTTTATAGAGTGGGCGAAGCATGAGAATTGGCTGCGGGCAGCTGCTGCTGCTCTTCTGAGGCCAAAGTGGTGGGGGGACCAGGCAGGAACGGAAGGAAAGAAAAGCAAATGTAGTCTATATCTATGTAGAGAGATACAAATTACAATCGGGCTCAGATTGTGCGTTGTCATTGTTCATTAATTTGGTATCCATTCAAAAATTCAACACTTGAAATTCGAAAACAGACACAGTGAAAAGAGAAAGAAGCCCACTTGCAAATTACAGCAAATCAGAGGGGCTTACCCATTAGTAACCATGCATGTAACTTGCAACTAGTCTCTGACATTAGTTATAAAGCCTGCTCTACTTCATTTGCTTTCTCTCTCTCTCTCTCTCCTTTGCCTCTACTAATTTCCCCACACCTCCCCCTTCTGGTTAGTTGACAAGTGCCCCCCAAAATCTCTATTTTTAAATACTAGCATAATATTTTATACTTAGAAGTGATACAAGTTGCACTGTAAGAGCTTTGGGACGTATCACAATGGATGGATCGATCCCATTCTAACCAATAAATCAAAATGTCCGTTTATGCGTGCATGAACGACTGTAACTAACTTATATGTACAATATCCATGCCATTGGAGGGGAGACGGTGCGACGGCTTTTAGGTCATGGTGTGCAGGTAATAAGGAAAAGTGTGCCCACCAGCAACCAGGCTCGTCTTGCTATATAAATACTAATGCTTCCACACAGAACAGAACAGTGTACCCAGACAACGTAACAAACAGCAAATTTAGAATTTTAATAATATATATACTCTTTTAAAAAAAAGGAGCCAAAAAATTACTATGTATACGTGTACGTTTTACTGTGGTTTTTCGTGCATGCATCTGCTGTTTTTGAAGATCCTATTCCTATGCGTTAAGAAACAATCTGAATCTGTGACAGTTGTCTTCGGAATCAAAGGTTGACTAGTTAACACATTTTACCCACCAGCTTCTTCTGGTTTGGTTTTTCTCCAGAAATGAAATTTCCATAACCTTTTACCTCTCCTTTCAAATCAAATGACGTCTTTTTCTTCTTTAATAGTTGCCAATTCACAATCTCTGCACAACGCTCCCTTCCCTTGAATTATTCATGAATGATGAACCCTAAAAAGCAAAATAAATATATTACAGAGTAGATGGGGGTACAAGAAGGATAAATAATTAATGATTAATCCCATTCCATCCCATTAATTAATTAGTTATTATTGGCAGCAACCACCTTCTCTCAATACTGTTGATGGCCGTTGCTGGCACAATTGAAAATTCAGTGGGTATGGAAGAAAAGTTGCTGGACGAATTCAATTTGTAACATAAAGCGTCAGTTTGTGTTATGCGTTTTGGTTAAAGTTGTCAGCACACCATCACCAACTTGCACGATGCATAATATATGCCACTTTCCCACTTTTGACCTAACCATGTTTTCATTATTTTGTATGTCAAAAACACACACACACACACACAGACAGTAATTTAAGAACATAGTTTGCAACATCACGTGAAAAAAAAACAACACGATCATGAAAGAAACTACTGAGACCAGAAAAAAGATAATGTTTTTATTTTTATTTTTTATGGTGTGGTAATTTTCAAAGACTAGTTTGCAATCATTTTGTGATGATTGAGAGAGAATGCATGCTTTGGTTTGGTGGTATATTAAACTTTTCTGATTTTTTTTTTATATTTTCCAAACATTCTGATTTATAAAAGCTCCGTTTAGACGGTGAATAAAGGCTCCGTCTCTGATTAAATTGTACAACAACACACTGTTCAAAAATTTGTGTGCTTTGACGGTCGATTATTGAGTTCACTAATTAAATTGTGCACTTATTAGGGATAGAGAGGATAATAAATGACAAATCAACCAACTTAAAAACACTGAATCCCCGTCGGTCAAGGACATAAATAGAAATAAATCATTTGAAAGACTTTTGCTTTGATTAGCTATAGGCTGTAGGTAAGAGACACCACCTACGACTCTAGACATGTAGAGAAATCTACAGTCTCCAGGTCTTGGTCTCCTTGATAGATCCTGGGACGTCATTTGGGATATTAAAAGTTCCATTCCATGTGACATATTTATATTACAAACAAAAAAACACACACACACATTTAACATGTTTTGTTGCTCTCTCATTATCAGTAAAGATAAGAGAGAAAGCTGTATTAGGAATCATTATTAATGATCATAATGCGTTTACTTACTTACTTAATTAGGGAAACGGTCTTGAATGGCATTTCCCTTTTAGATAATATTAGGGAAGATGTGCCAACGAGGAAAAATATAAGAAGAAAGAAAAGCATCCTGTATATGCACTCAAAAGTGCAACGTGGAGAAGTCAGCAACACAGCGTATGAAATTGAATGTGAATGATGAATTGTTTTCATGGGTTACACGCCCAAATTGCATGCCATTTTCTTTGATTTTGCACATATTGACCCAGTTCATTTCATTTTCCTTACCAACCGGCAAACGGCTGAAAAAGGACC